GGCCAATTTAGACAGGAGCCAATTAACCTACCAGCATGTGTTTGGAGTGTGGGAGGAAACCGGAGTACCCGGAGGAAAACCCACGCAAGCACAAGAACATGCAATCTCCAGGCAGGTGGTGCCGTGGCTGAGATTCGAACCAACGACCCTACTACTGCCAGGTAGAAGTGCTAACCATTTAGGCACTGTGCTGCCCATAAGATGATAAACCCTCAAGTGCTAAATGTGCCTAGTGTTTTGGCGTGTTTAACATTGTCAAGCGTTTTTTCTGCCAAAACCGCAGCTCCTGGACACAGTGTTTTTTTTTTTTTTTTGTTTTTGTTTTGTTTTTGTTTTTCTGCCTCTAAAAGCTCCTGTCTTTAAATGCTGCTAAAAGCCTATGTGTGCGTGAAGGGATAGGCTAACATGCCAGGGAGGTTAGAGGTAGGACAAATAAAACGCCTGACGCCCCTAGAAGCAGCTACAAAAACATGCAGTGCACATGAGGCCTTACACAGAACCACCCCTTTTTCAAGCAATACATTTGGAGGTACTGCAGTCATTGTATGTAAAGAACAGATCAAATTTGTGAAATAAAATTCTACCCATTTTCCCACCAACAGTTTATTGAGATCCATAATACTTTCTTGTTGAAGTGAATTGCTCTTTCCAACATACAAAAGGCACAAGAAAGTTTTAAACCCTGTGAGGTTGATCATGGCAATGGGCACAGACAATACTGACTTTCAGAGGCTATGTAATCTAGACATGTCCTTCTCTATGATAGCCATATTAATGCGGCAATACAGTCAGTGTGCGGCACATTGGCTGCGGCCCTTGAGGCTGGCACTTCAGCTTATAATCGACTCCTTCGAACTGATGCAGGGTCCAGCCTGGGCATGTGAAGCTGAAGGATGCTGATCAAAAGCCTTAGTAAAGATGAACCTTGGACACACAAGCTTCTATATAAATCTATTCCCTATACTCCTAGAGTGTAAGCTCCCAGGATCAGGCCCTCCTATCCCTCTTGTACTGAACTGTATTGTTGCTGTATTGTCTCCCTTTACATTGTAAAGCGCTGAGCAAACTGTTGGCTCCATATAAATCCTGTATATTAATAGTAATAATAATTATTATTATTCTTATATTTTGGATCATTTTTTTTTACAAAGCAGCATTTATTTTGAAATTAGATCAGAGTGGCTGCCATATTTTTTTTTCTACTAGCTGTAATAAAGGCATTTTTCAGGTAGGCCTTTATATCAGATGGGAAAACAAAGCTAAAGATCAAAACTGACCCCCCCCCCCCCCCCCTATAATTTCCATAAAAGAAACTTTTTAAATTCAAGCCAAGCCTCAGCTACCTGCCAAGGGTTTCTGTCCAGACGATACAAACAAATCCTTTCGTTTCCATTTACAGACTATCTAGATAGATATAATAATAATATTCCTCAATAGCCACAAAGGATCTAAATCCACATTGTGTGTTTACAAACTCAGCTATTATCTTGTAAAAGTGGCAGTGACATCATTGCGCTGTGGGAGAGGCCCAGTAGACTCCACCTTCTACAGGCTGCCTGCAGAAAACTACAGGAGGGGGAGGAGACAAGACCGGTCACCCTCCACAAGGAGAGAGAGCATTTTTTTAATTACTGGAATCTCCGTGGTTTACATTGGATTACTGCATAGATCTGGAAGAAATACACAAAGTAAAGTACCGAGGTTCAAGTAAGAATACTCGTGCCTCTTGTATTTAGACAATATTCGCTGATCCCAGGGTTTTTAGCTCTTAGCTGATCACATTATAGCATGACTATATTCATTAACTCCATAATATTTTTATATTATATATATATATATATATATATAAATATATAAAAATTTAGAATGTACCTTTAAAAATGTCCCCCCACATCTACTGGCAATTGGCACGCAGCGAACAAGCCGCACACTGTCTGTTGGGCCTTATTGGCATACATGTGCCCCTAAAGAGCTGCAAGCACTCTCTACGGTTAATTAAACATATGGTGATGATACTCAGGCAACAGACAGATGCACACGATCCATCAAAGGGTAACAAGAGTTCTTTTCAGGCATCAAAAAAAGATGTATTCAAGTCCTATACATTCTAAAAACACCTGAATTTAAAAAATATTCCTTTTAATGAAATAAAAAAAAAAAAAACTGCAGTCAAACACAATAAATGAATACAGTGATAACACAGTTTCATTCCTATGTCTCCAGCAATTTATGGAAGGGACTGTAATCTGTGCTCTTATTTGATAATCTTAAAAAAATAAGTGTGTTTACAAAGACGATGGCTTTATTTTGGTCATTGAGGGTTTTTATTTTTAGGTGGTGGCGTAGCCACCGCTAATTAGGCATCAAGAGGACCTATTTCCTGTGCTTACCTGCTGCAACCCTTTTGTGTTCTGGAGTATGTTGGGGAAGGTTTGCTGATGAGGGTGGGATTGCACTGTGTGTTCTATTGTTTGTGGCCCAGGATAATCGGAAGCCCCTATTACCCATCTTTTAAGTTTGTGTGTTTTGTTTTTTTTTACAGTAAAAGTTCCAACTAGAGGCAGGCACCACAAGATGTCGGCTCTCATCTTTACTAGCCAGAAAACCCTTCACTGTGTTCCCTACTGAAACTACGTTCTCTATGTTACTAAGGGCCTGGCTTCAGGACTAAACCCTGCAAACTGCCATTTAAGTGTCCAGAGTTTGTGCCTCAGGGGACAATAAGAGCATTCTCTCTGAACATGGCAATGGCCCTTGGAAGAATCCAGCAACAAAGTGACTCTCATTTTGTGGCATAGCACCCCTAACTGTCTACGCTTAGGCTAAAGGGAGCGTGCTTCAACTCGACACTAGTGACCTAGGCTACAGTACCCCTAACTGGCCCAGTATAGGCCAAAGGGATTGTGTTACAACCTAACACTAGTGGCATCATTACCTGACCCTGCATGGGCCACGGGAAGCATGCTACTCCTTAACACCTGTGGCCTAGGTTATAGTACTGCAAACCTACCCTGCATAGGCCACGTGGGGCATACTGAAAATTTTACATAAAAAGCCTAGGCTAAAGTACCACTTACTGACCCTGTATAAACAAAGGGAAGCATGCTACAACCTAACATGAGGAGCTTAGGCTATATGGTACTGCTAACTTACCCTGCATAGGCCAAGTGGTGCATACTGCAACCTTACACTAGTGGCCTAAGCTAAAGTACTACTGACTGAAGCTTCAGAGGCTAAGGGGAGCATGCTACAACCAAACACTAGTGGCTTAGGCTGCAGTACCACCGAATGACACTGCACAGGCCAAGGGGAGCATACTACAACCCAACACTAGTGGCCTAGGCTATAGTGCTGCAACCCAACACTGGTGGTCTAAGCTATAGCGCTGCAACCTAACCTTGGTGGCCTAGGCTATAGCGCTGCAACCTAACCCTGGTGGCCTAGGCTATAGCGCTGGATCCCAACACTGGTGGCCTAGGCTATAGCGCTGCAACCTAACCCTGGTGGCCTAGGCTATAGCGCTGCAACCCAACCCTGGTGGCCTAGGCTATAGCGCTGCAAACCCAACCTTGGTGGCCTAGGCTATAGCGCTGCAACCCAACCCTGGTGGCCTAGGCTATAGCGCTGCAACCCCACCCTGGTGGCCTAGGCTATAGCGCTGCAACCCAACCCTGGTGGCCTAGGCTATAGCGCTGCAACCCAACCCTGGTGGCCTAGGCTATAGCGCTGCAACCTAACCCTGGTGTCCTAGGCTATAGCGCTGCAACCCAACCCTGGTTGCCTAGGCAATAGCGCTGCATGCAACCCAACCCTGGTGGCCTAGGCTATAGCGCTGCAACCCAACCCTGGTGGCCTAGGTATAGGCTGCCCCCCCCTGGTGGCCTAGGCAATAGCGCTGCAACCCAACCCTGGTGGCCTAGGCAATAGCGCTGCAACCCAACCCTGGTGGCCTAGGCTATAGCGCTGCAACCCAACCCTGGTGGCCTAGGCTATAGCGCTGCAACCCAACCCTGGTGGCCTAGGCTATAGCGCTGCAACCCAACCCTGGTGGCCTAGGCTATAGCGCTGCAACCCAACCCTGGTGGCCTAGGCTATAGCGCTGCAACCTAACCCTGGTGGCCTAGGCTATAGCGCTGCAACCCAACACTGGTGGCCTAGGCTATAATGCTGAAATCTAACACTAGTGGCCTTGGTTATATTATTGCAACCTAACACAAGTGTCCTAGGCTATTGTACTGATAACTGATCCTGCATTGGCCAAGGGAAGCATTGCACTACAACCTAACACTAATAGTTGTTGGCTGGTTAATTAGTCAGCAGCAGTCGCACCCTCATCAGCTATACTAAGGGCCCGTAACCAATTAATACAGATATAAAGGTTGACAATAGTCCTGTAGCCTAATATCCACCCCCTATCCCCAGGCCTGTCATCTACCTTTAGAAGAGAAGTCTAAGAAATTAAGTTGAAGTTTTGCATCACTTAAAAAACACTAAGGCTGGGAGGCCTAGGTACAAAACAGTCTCTTGTCACAAAGGGGTTTATTTACTAAAGCTGGTTCACTCAGAATCTCATGCACCTGGGCATGGTAGCCAATCAGCTTCTAACCTCAACTTGTTCAATTAAGCTTTAGCAATAAAACCTGGAAGCTGATTGGTTTCCATGCAGAAGTGTGTGAGATTCTGAGTGAACTAGCTTTAGTAAATAAACACCAAAATGTCTGCCACTAGCAAGCACAGGAAACAGTCAGACTAACACAGCAAATCAGAACTTGTGGGGTAAATACAGCAGTTTAGGAAGTTTGCAACAGTCTAGACTTTTTTTTTTGCTTGATCCTACAAAAGACATTTGCAAACAGTATTTTGTTGCAATATAAGGTCTAAGTGTTCTATAATGGAATGTTTACATTAGCGTTAAGGAAACTTGTTTTGTGGTGACATTTTGTTGGGGTTTTTCTTACTAGGCTTAATAGTAGCACATAGCACAGATGACCCTCCGGTCTTCAGATGTACTTCTTCTTCTTCAAATACCAGTAGGCAAAATATCCCATTCCTCCCAGCGAGCCCATGAGGAAAGATGCCCCGAAGAAAGATGGCGGTTTTCGCTTCACCAGTCGGAAGGCATTGGGTAAGACAGCAGACAGCAGGGTCGTGTGGATGTCTCCAAGCACTCTCCGGAATGCATAGCGCTTCTGTATCCTCTCAAAGTAGGACTGTAAGTTTGGTCTACTCCCGTCTTCCCAGTGTTTTTTGGAAAGTCCAAGGAACTTGAGTCGATGTAATGTGGCTCCCAAAAGTATGTCAGCTAAGGTGAACATGTTTCCACAAAGCCAAAGTTCACATTTCCGGCCTGGAAAAAAAAAAATATGTAGCTTTGATTGTTCATAATCATCACTTTCAGAATGGGTATTCCTTTAATGATTATGGGAGAAGCAGACTTGATTCGGTTAGTTAAGACTAACCTACATGCTGTAGACAATAACTTTGCCTGAAGGCTTCTAAGTTTTTTTTCATGCTGGAAATATAATACAGCCAGTGGGTCTGCTCTAGGACCTCTTGCCCAGTTGGCACTGCATCCATATAAGACGCCCAAAACACTTCACCTTCCTAAACTAGCCACTGTAGAATGAGCATACGTTATATGATCTATTTCATCCACTCCGCCAGTCAATCCCTGAGTCGGATCTCTACTTCCATCAATGCATACCACACCCTGATGAACCATTTTATGATCCCGAAATGTATTGGATACAGTACATATACGTAACAATCAGTTTACTCTTTCATTCCAAGACATCCAAGCAGCACCATCAGTTTTGAGCAGGTAAAGGTTAAAACCCCATCAGATTTTTACACTGGTGATATTTCCCTTTACTTCCTGTCCTACAGATGCAACAGGAAGTGAGAAGAAATTTCTACGAAGTGAGAAGAAATTTCTACAAAGTGAGAGGAACCGTCTGTTTGGACAGTTGTTAGCAGAATAGGTTTCCCCATTGGAAGATTTGTCCTCACCTCTTTTTCTGGAGACAGCTGTAATGTTGGATTCTCCATCACTTTCTGTCTCGGTGGTCATTAGGACAATTAGAGAAGGGGAATCTACCTAACGGACCAATACCTGATAGGTTCTTCCCCACACTAGCCAAAAAACTGTTTTTATGGCAGTAGATACTGTATTAAAGCATGAGAACCAAGCTGCCTAGGCCTTGGATCGCATAACTAAGCTTGACTGAAGTTTCTCTTGGTCTATGAAAAGGTTTTCATGTACTCCAAATATTAATGTGAATTGGTAATGCCCATGTGTCCCATTGATTCATATGAGGGGTAAGTTTTAAAGCCCAACTAAAGTTGCAGCAATAGATAAGCAAGTCAGACTTTTTACTAGCATCTTCTTGTTTTACTAGTCCTATGTCTACTTTGCTATTACAGCAGTTGTGAAGGGTGTTTAAATATGACGGTGTAGTTCACCCAGATCTGGTCTACCACACCCCTTCTCTCTACAATTCAAATTTGTGCTGAGGGGTGGGGCTGTTACTCTCAGCTCTGCCAGCACAGACCACTGCAGTGTGAGGATAGATAGAAGCATTTTCACTGAGATAATAGGGTATTTAGGGGCATGTTCTAGTAATAAAGAACAGTCACAAATTATAACATGATGTGTTACAGAATTTTAAAGCGCTACAAAGGTGTGGGACTGAATATTTGGGCTTTAATGATAAGACCAACGACATTAGTGTGAGTAATGAAATTCAATATTACATGTAGATGGCTCTTCAAACCCTGGGCTCCCCCCTGGAAATAAAGGGACAGTTTGTACCAGGGGCGGACTGACAACTCATGGGGCCCTCGGTAATAGGGGATCATGGGACCCCTGTGTCCTTGCCCACACTCAAAGCACACTCAAAAAAGCCTATAAAAGGCACCAGGGGCATTTCATGGGGCCCCTGACTGACCCCGGGCCCTCGGGCACTGCCCGAGTGCTCTAATGGTCAGTCCGCCCCTGGTTTGTACCTAAGCCATTGCACGCTTTATGAATGCCCTCTGCAGTTCCCCGTCCTTCCTGGAAGGCTGAAATGCCACCAGCCTCAGTGATGTCACTGGAGAACAGATATCTTCATGAATATGGATTCTTCGACAGAACAATCGCTACTATACATGAACATATCCTGCAGTTCTGCTGTGTGTGGATGGCAGGGTAAAGATGAGATTGCAGAATAATAATACAGCAAGGAGAAGAATGTGAGATATAAATAGATAGGAGGAGTAATAGATAGGACTGACAAGGACAAATCTGCAGAATAGGTTACAGTTCTGTAATGTCTTCCACACAGGGTAGAATAGGGTAGGATGACCAGCAGGGGGAACCACAAAGAATGTACCTTTTCTTACTATAGCTTCTTTAATGTAAAGGAAGATCTATTTAGATGATGGAACGATCTCATAGTAACCCTGTCAACAAGATCTCTGCTCCTGGTTTCCCAGGTGTACCCCACGTGCCACAGCAAGCATAAAAGGATTGGGATTGAATTCTCTGATGGATCTTGCCAGAAAAAGTAGGATTTTGTAGTTCTAGCATGTGCCTCTCAATGGCAGCCTTTAGCAAAGTTTGTACTGCAGAGGAACTTTCAGGTTTCAGATATTGGGGAACACTTACTTAAACCAATTCATTGGCGTTCAATGGGAGAAGTGTTCCTCACATTAGTGGTCAGTAGGAAGACAGCACCCCTTACAGTGGTGGTCAGAATGCCTCCCTTACAGTAAAAAAAAAGATCATTGGTCTTATGCTCTTACCTTTGCCAAGTGACATTGACCCTGAAACTAAGCGGGCTCCATCAAGTATTAGTCAATCAGCCACAGCTCAAGAACCCCTAACATTCTCTTGAAGAACCCTGGTTGAAAATGGATGCTCTATATAATAAAACACAGACTAGTTGATCCAGGAAATATCCAATTTCCTCTCGGAATCAGGGAGGAATTTTTTTCCCTGCAGGAGCAAATTGGATCATGCTTTGCTGGGTTTTTTTTGTCTTCCTCTGGATCAATTGTGGGTATAGGATTATAATTTTTTTTTTAATGGTTGAACTGGATGGACTTTTGTTTTTTTTTCAGCCAGACTAACTACGTAACAGACAGCAAATGGGCTAAATGTAAAAAATAAAAACAGTATTTACTACGGCCATGTAATCAGAAAAATTGTACATATTGTACAAGATGTTGGGGAATCCATTTAAATAGCAGGTCTGGATGTCATTTTATGGGCTTCTGAACAAAATGAGTTGACTTAATGGTGGCAATATAGAATGTTCTGATGAACGTAATTCCAACCAGTTTAAAACTCCTTTGAAAGTGAAGGCATTTTAGATTCTGGAAAGTTGTTTAGGAATCCTCATGTTCTCAGTGTCCCAGCAAACCTCATGCTAAAGAAGCCACTTCTAATCTTCTATATCTAATACGTCCTGCACTCTGCCCCTCAGCAATTCAATGCAGTTGCTTTCTCTTGGCCCCTAAAGATCTCTCATTGAGCTAGCATATGACTGATTGTTCCTTCTGTGCCTATCTTCTACCACATCTTTCAATTATTTACCCATTCACTGTAGATCTACATTCATTTGCCTGATGACAGCATGCTTTGTGATGGATCTAACAGTGGTTCAGTGTTCTGTAGGTGCCCTGTGACCTTCTGACTTTACAAAAGTTATCGTTTAAATAAATGAAAAATCTAAATGTAGGTTAAATATCCTTATAACAACCATAGGAGGTGGGTGAGAGATCTCATCTACTGGGTGGGTGAGTATGTGGGTGCTTTACTTTCATCAGTCAACCCATACCTGTCATTAATATTGGGTGGCTTGACTCTTTAATTTGTTTAGAACCTCCACTTTATTCCGACAGCAGAGTGAAGACCGCTAGGACAGCAGGAGAGGGGTACAAGTCTCGTTATGCTAATTACCGTAAAATGCATTGGAGATGTGAGATTGGATCCTAATGGGACTCGGTAAAGGTCACATAAAATTATTAATCCTCTGTCTAAGCATTAAAGAAAAGGGGAAGGTGAAAGCAAAGCAGATATATATATATAGAGAGAGAGGAGAGAGAGAGACCAGCGTGCTGATGCATCTACTGCCTGACAAGCAACTCTGCCTTTTGCCATATAAATGTTTCATAGCCTGTTCTTGAGACATGTCACCGCCATTATCAGAGCATCTCCTCACCTTCTCACTTCTCATTTTTTATACATGAAAAAAAAAATGCAGCTCTAGGAGTGAGACAACACGATTCTGAAAGCCAAACTCTTAACTCAGAGATATAAGAAGGCAAGGTCAACTCAATCATTAAAATCTCATGGAGATGTCGACACGTTAATGTAATTTCCAAAGTCATCTTCAATATTTTCAAACCCTATGGCTTTCAGTACACTAGTACCTGGTGATCCTGCCATGAAGGTCCTTGATCAGCCTGTCAGCTGGATGTCTGCAGGACCCTATCACAAGGGCTTCTCATGGGAGACTACAAGTGGACATTTACACACATTCTGCAGACATGGTCCACTGTTGTCACCGTCAGGGAACTCGCCCAGAGATGCCATACAGCCGTTGCTGATCCTGCCACGAAGGTCCTTCATCAGCCTGTCAGCTGGATGTCTGCAGGACCCTATCACAAGGGCTTCTCATGGGAGACTACAAGTGGACATTTACACACATTCTGCAGACATGGTCCACTGTTGTCACCGTCAGGGAACTCGGCCAGAGATGCCATACAGCCGTTGCTGTTCACGTAGGCGAGAATTGGCTGATCCTTACCTGCTTCTGATCTGTGTGTATAAATGCAGGCCTTGCTGGTGCCCCATCTCAGACTGGCAGCCAAGGGCAAGGTCTGCATTCACTAACCACATGACCACCTTGTAAAAAGAAAATCCAATGACACAGCATCCCTCTGTGTGTTAAGAATCATTAGTAACTTACCACAAATAAAACTCTTATCAAAACCCATGCCAATAACCTGACTTTAGGCCCTTTTCTGGGAAAGCAGTCAACCAATCAAATTAGTAGGGCAGAGCAGAATTCTGGGAAGTCAGTTCACAGACAGAATACTGATGCTATGGTTGCAGGAAAGAAATTAATATTTCTTGGCAGCTTTAGAAAATCATAATTGAATTGAAATGAAAAAGTCACTCTACATAAATATGTATTTTGTAACCTTTAAAAGCAAAACTCTAGTTTCCTTAAAGTGTTACTAAAAGCAATTTTTTTATTTTCTGAATTAAAATAACAAACTTGTTATACCCACCTGCTCTGTGCTGTGGTATTGCACAGAGTGGCCCTGATCCTCCTCTTTTTTGAGTCCTCTGTCTGTGATCCTTGTTCCTCCTCTTCTTTGTGTGTCCCCATGGCAAGCTGTTTGCGGTGAGGACAAATGCTGCGTGCTCGCTCCCGACCTGTGTGTCTATGGAACCGCACTCCATAGACACAGAGAGACTTGGCCATGCCCTCCACTTCCTCTTCACTGCACTTGATTGACAGCAGCATTAACCAATGGCTCTTGCAGCTGGTGAGTCCCTGTGAGTGGAGAAGAGAGGCAGCCCTGCTCAGTGCTGATCTCTTCTCCCCTCTGTTCCCCTTCACACAGGGAAGGGGGAGCAGAGGGAACTTAAAAACATTTTTTACCCAGGGGCGGACTGGCAACTCATGGGGCCCCCGGGCAATAGGGGATCATGGGGCCCCTGTGTCCTTGCCCACACTCATACCAAACCCAAAAAAGCCTATGAAAGGTACCAGGGGCACCTCATGGGGCCCCCTACTGACCCCGGGCCCTTGGGCAATGCTCGAGTTCCCCAATGGTCAGTCCGCCCCTGTTTTTACCTTAATGAAAACAGTGCATTAAAGTAAAAAATTATTTACGTTTTTAGTATCACTTTAAAACCAATACAACATACTGTATATAATTACTACACGGAGGATAGTCCTAGCATGGCATCCCCAGCAATGTCTTTAGATTTAGTGCACTGGGAGTATCACACTGGAACAAATCATGTGATTACAGCAAAGGGAAAAATCTCCCAGTTAACATCCTGAAAGATTTCAGCAAGTGCACTGGAATGGACCATTTCCAAATCAAGAGAATAAAATCAAGTCAAATCTGCGACAATTGCTAAAATCCTTTCATCAACACAATCAATTCACAAATCTTTACAGAAGAATAAGAATCTTTACTTTCAGCCATTTGACTGTAAATTCCAAATCTAATTGTACTCACTACTCAGTTGAAAATAACTGTCATTTAAAAAAAAAAAAAAAAAAAAAAAAAAAAAAAATATATATATATATATATATATATATATATATATATATATCATCTTGTTGTATCAGCCTTGTGAATAGGGCCTAATGTGAAAAGCTGATCTAGGAAAGGAAGGAATCTTTTCATTTTTTTTCACCACAAAACTGGAGCTTCACCTAAATACAGAACTAGTATGATAAGCTTTACTTAAATACAGAACTAGTATGAGATGTTTCAGCCAATCGTTATCTGCTCATAACAGAAATGTCAGTTTGGAGTGGACTAATCTTTTAACACATACAGTAATATTATAAATTGGATTACATTATCACATTGATGCAGTATATGGGAAAGAACAGGAAATTAAACCAACTGCTTTCTTTTCCCTTTTGCTCCAGTTTCACTAATTAAAATAGCCTTAGTGCTATATAATATACATTTAATTTTTTGCTCATGGCATTTGTAATTAAGGCAAAATGATACAAATCATTACGATCTGTATGAGATATATACAGTATATACACTATATTGCCAAAAGTATTGGGACGTCTGCTTTTACACGCACATGAATCTTAATGGACTCCTAGTCTTAGTCCGTAGGGTTCAGTATTGAGTTGGCCCCGCCCTTTGCAGTTATAACAGCTTCAACTCTTCTGGGAAGGCCGTCCACAAGGTTTAGGAGGATGTTTATGGGAAGGTTGGACCATTCTTCGAGAAGTGCATTTGTGAGGTCAGGCACTGATGTCGTATGAGAAGGCCTGGCTTGCAGTCTCCGCTCTAACTCATCCCAAAGGTGTTCTATTGGGTTGAGGTCAGGACTCTGTGCAGGACAGTCAAGTTCCTCCACCCCAAACTTGCTCATCTATGTCTTTATGGACCTTGCTTTGTGTACTGGAGAGCAGTCATGTTGGAACAGGAAGGGGCCATCCCCAAACTCTTCCCACAAAGTTGGGAGCATGAAATTGGCCATAATGTCTTGGTATGCTGATAACTTAAGAGTTCCCTTCACTGAAACTAAGGGGCCAAGCCCAACCCCTGAAAACCCCCCCCCCACACCATAATTCCCCCTCCACCAAACTCTACACTTGGCACAGTGCAGTCAGGCAAGTACTGTTCTCCTGGCAACCACCAAACCCAGACATGTCCATCAGGTTGCCAGACAGAGAAGCGTGATTGGTCAGTCCAGAGAACACATCTCCACTGCTCTAGAGTCCAGTGGCGGCGTGCTTTACACCACAGCATCCGGCGCTTTGCATTGCACTTGGTGATGTAAGGCTTGGATGTAGCTGCTCGGCCATGAAACCCATTCCATGAAGCTCTCTACACACTGTTGATGTGCTAATCTGAAGGCCACATGAAGTTTGGCAGTCTTTAGCTATTGACTCTGCAGACAGTTGGTGACTTCTGCGCACTGTACGCTTCAGCATTCACTGACTCTGCTCTGTCATTTTACGTGGCCTACAGGTTGGTGGCTGAGTTGCTGTTGTTCCCAGTTGCTTCTACTTTGTTATAATACCACTAACAGTTGACCGTGGAATATTTAGTAGCCAGGAAATGTCACGGATGGACTTATTGCACAGGTGACAACCTATCACGGGACCACGCTTGGAGTCACTGAGCTCCTGAGAGCGACCCATTCTTTCACAAATGTTTGTAGAAGCAGTCTGCATGCCTAGGTGATGATTGTATACACCTGTGGCCATGGAGGGGATTGGTACACCTGAATGTAATGATTTGGAGGGCTGGCCCAATACTTTTGGCAATATTCATATATTCTTTGCTTTACAAGTAAACATCAAATTAAATATTCCTACAGCACCACTGGTTTAGCTAAACAGACAACATAAGTGACAAAGCTCACTTTGAAGATCTGAAACTTTGTACTCAACTGTATAAGTCACTGCTGTGAAGACTCGTGCACTTTAGTCATTAGCAGGATTTATTCACTAAAGCTGAAAAGGATGCAATGCTAACAGTGTTGCAAAGCAGGAGGTGGGAAGGGGTAACCTGTTGGAACAACTGCATGTTCTTAAGTGTTGTCACTCTTCCATCCACCCCTACTGTACTATAGTGTATGGGTACAAGAATATATTACTTTACAGACTTCTAGGCTAATATATACAGCATGTTTCTTCATTATAACGTGATCGTAGCTGGAATACCTTCCTACTCAAGAAATGTGTAATGCCTGTGTCCCCTGTCACATGCCGTGGTTCCATCCTCCAGCCTCTATGTCACTGCTGTACATTGTAGTAACATCTGGGTTGAAAGAAGAAACTGCAGCACACTGTGGGGGACACAGGCATCAGACACCCCTGGAATTGATAGATTTTTTTTTTGTTTTTGTTTTTTTAGAACTGGTTGGGTTACTTTAAACAATAAGAGAAGGAGATAGCATAGCAGGGGATCACTACTAGCACCACAAATAGACCCGCTTTTAAAAATGTTGTCAGGACCGGGATTTAAACCAGTGACCTCTGCTTGTCTGGCAGTGGATCTTCTTGCTGAGCCACCTGAGATGTTGAACAGTTCCCTGTCTGATCTCTTAGGACAATCTTGTCTTGTCTCTTGCATCTGCTAAACCTTCAACCTTCTGCTCATTCCATGAACTTCCTGTTTTAAACTATGTCTATGCACTTCCTGTTTGCCAGATTAGTGTGCTGTCTCCAGCCGATATCTTACTCCTTTGCATACCTGCATTTGATCTTATTCTCACTTCCACTTGTTACTGATCTTTGGCTTGTTCTTTGACTACGCTTTTGCTTGATCCCAAGCTGCAGCCACTTGTTAATGACCTTTGGCTTGTTCCTCGACTATACTTCCACTTGATCCCCTGGTACTGGACTCCAGCTTACTCATCTCCTGATGTGGCGATCCCCAGGACCACAACCTGGTACTAGCACACAGCAAAACCCATCTCCACTATCGGGAGCTCTGGTGAATACCAGTTAGAGCTTAGAACCTTCACCTCAGGTAAGCCCGCATCATCCTCCAGAGTGAACATCTTGTGTAATTGCCGGTGGGAGCCTCTCTACTGCCAAAGCTACTGATCTCCAAGCCTAACCCCTGACCATGACAAACGTACAAATTCATACGATACCTTCATATTCAATTTTCCTCTTCTCCAGCTCAGCCTCAATCTGATCCAGGACCATGGCTAACTCAAAGAGAATTTTCTTCAAGTTGTTCACATTGTCATGTTCCAATATTTTAGCCTGGAAAAAGAACATGTTCACAAATATGTTATAGATGACACTACTAGTATATAGAGTTTTCATGCACATACTGCTTACAGGAACGGTACTATTATGAATGGCAAGCCTTCTACAAGTGAATACGAGATTCTGTACAAGGGAATTTGTCTTCTGAATTGCTTTGTTTACTGATATAAGTTACTGTGATTTCAAAAGCAACTCAACATATTTCAGAAACCGCTTGAAGCACCTCAAAAACAGCCAACAACCCATAAGCTGATAAGCTCCTCAGAAGCCAGTCAACAGCAGGTGAAAGCAACTCAAAGTGGAGTCAAAGCATTCTGTGTTTGACTTGCTCCTAAGTCTGATGCCTATATACACTCTTAAGATACAGGTCTGGGTGGACACAGGTGAACTTGAATGGCAATGGTACTCTCAGCAGCAAGTAAATACATTCACTGACCTACTAATGCTGTTCACCTTCGCTGAGGAGCAAGTTGTGTTATACAGTAGGGTATACTTTAGCATAACTTAGAACATGGTCTTGCTCCATAATCCAATTAATGTGCCACCCATAGCCTTTCAGACACTCCTATTGGTTTCTGGGAAGGTGGTGCTTGGCTAAGGCCTCTTTACAAAGTGCAGCTTTGATCAATAGGCTAAATTAAAGATCATTTGCTCAGTAGTTGAGTTACTAGTCATACATTAGGTCTAAAACTGGTATGTACATGGCAGGCTTGTTTTTCAGGGCTTGAGTAGGGCTTTCATAGTGCCTCTAGGCAGAGTTGAAGCCTCTTGGAAATCATTGTGAGCTTTGCCCACCCTTTCTGAATGCAGTGTATTTGTTTTTTTTCTTAATGTGACCAAGAATATCCAAGATTGTGTTCATCACAAGTTGAAGCAAGAGAATTCTCTTTTAACCAATGTGTTCTTTGTCTATTTAGACCCTTGTAGATTAAACAATGAGCTTCTTTATGGAATAATAAGCCAAGTTCCATCTCTTGCTCTTGATGGCACCCTCTCTTCTGGTGGGTCAGGGCAAATGCTCTTTTTGCTCCCTTGTCTAAAATGACCTAGAGTAGAAGTCCCCAAATGAGTCTCCGAGTAGTTAAGGTGGACTTCTTATGCTTACATGACTTACCATGAGTTTTTTCTGTTTGGATAGATATGGCTCGGTAAGGTGGTGCTCCTCGTGGTCGAGTTTCAAGAGTTCTGTGCTGGCATTGGCCAGATGTCCTTAAGGATGATGCGTAAAGAAGAGAACTGTGTCAACTTTTAAACAAGTCACAATGAAATCCTTGGAATTTATTGAATTAAAATACAGTTGTTAATGATCACCACTTGTATACAATATACTGTGCACATCCTGTATTGTTTGGTTGTAATGGCAGCACTCTCACATATTAAGAAGAATGTCTGGGCTGCTTGAAGCGTAATTGCCAATTACAATTTAGTAGACTGAAAGGCAATAAGGAAGAACTTCTTGTAAAACGCCCTTCCAAAAAAAAAAGAAGATTCTCTTTACTCAAAGGCAGAGCGGAGAAAGCTGGACACACCTGATACTACAAAGACTACTAGAAAAATCCGAAACAGAAAGATCAATAGAAAACAAATTAACTCCTTCTTTACATTAACTAAGTAGTGTTAGAAATAGCCAATGCCCCTTTCAACCTTTAAAATCACTACATTCTGCTGTAGCTTTTAAAGTGTAAGGTGCATTTATTTGGGGGTATGCTTGGAAAAACAAAATAACAGCAATAAACATCCAAAGAGGGTATCTAGCCAATCCCTAAAACACTTTCTGCAGGCAGGGGTCTGTGTGGCCTTCCCACAATCTCCATCTTGTACCAACTGAGTGATTCAGCTTCCATTACCTCTACCATCTACATGATCTGACTTCTTGATTAAAGCAGTGAAAAGAGTAATGTTGATAAATTGCATTTTCTAGACCTGAGCAGCCAATCAGATGTCACTTTTCATCACTTTCCTGCAGCTACAACAAAGTGATAGCAGACTGGAAAATCTATTTGAGAGATAAAATTGTGCTGATAATTGCAAGTGTTAGGTTATCGCTCTATAGTGAATCCTTGCATGGCCTTGTTATCACAAGCAATCCAATCCTGGAATTGGCAGCATTACTTCCAAAACTCAGGCAGTGTAGGACTACCCTTACCTCGGGAAGAGTCCGCTAAGTGATTTTCAATGTATTATCTTTCGTGGACGATCCGTATTGGCTGTGTGAAGTCTAAGCCCTTATCTGAAATCAGCCGAAGCTAAGGTGGACAGGCATTTAGAGGCTATGGGGTTTATTTACTAAAGCTGGAGAGTCCAAAATCAGACTCCCTTCTGCATAGAAACCAATCAGCTTCCAGGTTTCATTGCCAAAGCTTCATTGAACAAACTGAGGTTAGAAGCTGATTGGTTTCTATGCAGAAGGGAGTCTGATTTTGGACTCTCCAGCTTTAGTAAATAAACCCCTATGTGTCAATTCTAGTTGGTATGGTCACATCCATAAACATAGCTTTATTTTTTTTACTAATAATAATTCTTTCAAATATTCACCTCATGCAGGGACACTTACGTCGGATCTCAGCGGTGGCATACTTTGGGATCATAGAATCTATGGTAAGTTCTGGGTGAAGAATACATCCATGTGTGTAGGCATCCATGGGCAGGCTTTCCAGCAGCTCTCGGTATTGGAGGACCCTGGAGTGTAGAAGGCTTCCAGATTCTGGTATCAACTGAGGAATGAGTTCTGAAAACGATAGACAACAACTTGTAAATTTAGACCGTTCACATATTACAAATCTTAGTGGTACCGGCCACTTGGCTCTTCCCCAGCTTACTGACAAGGACTCCTGTGCTTCTTCCATCAAGGTTTCACCTAAGCTTCTCCACCTCCATGTAATCAGTTATCAACTGCCCCTGTTCTATATCCCACTTTAATATGCCCAATGGTCTGCAGAAAATAGTATGACACTCAATCAGCCACTCTCAACTAGGGTTCCTTTTGGGGTTGCTAGGGGTTTGTTGAACTATGGCGGATTGACTTCCCATCTGATAGTTCCCAGGGACAACATCAAATACAGCCAACATATTTGGGGGAAGGACCTTACCCTTCCTCAGGGATAATGACTGGTGTCTCTTTTTTCTACCTATGTTACTGTATAACAAAAATGTAACATATTGCAGCTTACCAATCTTTAGATGTAGAGGCTGCATTAGTTTTCACCTGTTTTTCAGAGTGTTTTCCCTTTATTTGTACCTAGTAATCCTGCCAGTAACATATGGTTATCATTAGTCCCTGTTTGTTAGGGACTGTGCCCATTCTGAGGTGTTTGTCCCTTGCAAACAACACACTCCTGACCCCATGTTTACACTGATGTCCAATGGGCAGGGAGTTTAAACAGAGCAGCCAGCACATTTCAAGTCACCATTATTTTTATCATACCTTTTTTTTTTTTTTTGGTTGCCATATTTGACTTTAAGCCTCTTGCATACAGAAGTAAAAAAAAAACACCATTTTTTTTTTTAATTATTTGAATGCTGGTTCACTGTTGTCTAAAAAACATTGCACACACAGATGCGAAAAGATCAGTAATACAGTGATGAGTGTACGGCCATAAAATAAAAGTAGAACATTTTTACATTTGAGTGCAGAAATTTACATGACAACTAGAAAAGGATGAAGAAGAGTTTTACACATGGATACGTATATACATATTTATTCAAGGTCTTTACAGAATACTCCCACCGTATGTCAGGATCCTCATCAATCTCCCTTACATGAGGGTTCCATTCAGTGTCCCCTTTATATCAGGGTCCTTTTAGGGTATATTTAGGCATGTGTCTAAATCTCCCTTTTCTCTGAAGCCTGATACACACTTCAGAGGCTACTGACAGGCGGTGAGGAAGTGATGCGCCGCCATCTCACTACATGTTTTAACCCCATTTTTGCCAATCAAAGTGCCAGCGTTTGTGGCGCTTCCCCATTGACTTTAACATGTAGTGTTTAGCATGTTTTTCACCCGCATGTAAACATCCCTGTCCACTGCCTATTGCAGCATAAAGGGAGTTAGTTGAGGGGCTGCAAAAACACAACCCAACCGCAATTCCAAATGAGGCATTAATCTCCAGGGTCCACATCAGACTCACACTTACACTGGTGTCCCTGTCAGTGTCCCCCTTACATCGGGGTCTCCATCAGAGTCACTATTAGAATGCCCACTTACTTCAGGGTCCTCTTCATGTCACAGTCCACATTAGACTCTCAGATTACATCAGAATCCACATTAGAGTCCTCATCAGAATGCCCACTTCGTTCAGGGACCTCTTTATGTCACAGTCCACATCACACTCCCACCTTATGTAAGGGTCCCCATCAGTGTCCCCTTTACATTGCAGTTCCCATCAGAATGCCCCCTTACTTCAAGGTCCTCTTCATGTCAGAGACCACATCGGAATCCCACCTTACACCAGTGTCCCCATCAGAGCCCTCCATACACCAGTGTCCCCATCAGAGCCCTCCATACATCAGGGTCCCCATCAGAGCCCTCCATACATCAGGGTCCCCATCAGAGCCCTCCATACACCATTGTCCCCATCAGAGCCCTCCATACATAAGGCTCCCCATCAGAGCCCTCCATACACCAGTGTCCCCATCAGAGCCCTCCAAATATCAGGGTCCCCATCAGATCCCGCCATACATCAGTGTCCCCATCAGAGCCCTCCATACATCAGGGTCCCCATCAGAGCCCTCCATACATCAGGGTCCCCATCCGTGGGGAGACTGTGCACACCAGCAGAAGACCAGATACAATCTTGTAGCAGACCACATGTGGCCCGAGGGCCATAGTTTGAAAACCCGGATCTAAATCTGCAGACCCATGGGTGTCTAAAGTGGCACACAGCTTCAGTGGCTGAGAGGGCAGATGGAACAAATAAGGGAACATCTACAATATTGTTTTCCATGAGGGATTAGAATGTTAGGATCAGTCAGGAAATTGGTTTATATTTATATTAATTCAATTCAATTAAATTAAATTTTAAAATGTGATATCCTGTATGTATTTTTTGTCTTCCATGTGACCATAATACAAGGTCCTCTTTAAACAGGCAACTGCCTTTGATATTTACAAGTGTTACCTTCCTCCTTCTCACCCCTCACCATGGTTAGTGGAGCAGACAGGTGGCCATAATTTAGGCCTTTACCAGCCTTAACAGCTGGCTGCTCGCAGATGGCATTTAAAAAGCAAATTACAGTGTGATCAGAGGCTCCGCCGTAGCCGCCAACAATCCCAGGAAGGCACATAAAGCACGCCGGTTTAAGATACGCACTTTGATTGTGTTGTGGGAAGGTGATTAACGTATATTAGATGACTATTTAGATGGGATCGCCCATTAGATACATATGAGCTAGGCATTTAACAGCCAGAAAGTAATGTATAGGAAGTTGGGTAACAAGCCCTGTGTTGGCTGATAACAGTCAACAGAGTCAAAGAGCAAACGAAAGTCAACAGCTCATGGGATTTCTGGGAGGAGGTTTTTGCACTTATCAGATATCAGGTATAATAAACAGACCCCACACGGGCACGTACAATCATTAGTAGGGTTCACATACATTTTCATTTTAGATTTGGATTGGAGTCTACTTTTAAATATTTTAGGCTTTTTGTTTTCCATGCCTCTGTTCTGAGCTGCACTGGCATCTGCCATCTCCTTGTAGAGGGATGCCATGTGTTTCTAGTTAAAAAAAAAAACTATGATTGAATCCTTTAATATCCATAAAAATGTCAAGTTTGTACACTATTCACTTTTCAAAAATGATGGGGGGTAGGTTGCACCTCTTCAGGACCTGGGTGCTGGTGCACAGCACAGAAATTTTAGTACCAATTTACCTCCTACAAAATTGCTTTCCACATAGTCAATGATCTGGTTGTAGTCGCTGATGATGTGATCCCCGTGAATGACCACCGGTACCTCCTCCCCGAGGTTCAGACGCATAAACCATGGCTCTTTCTGCTCTGCCAGGGGTAGGCTCACATCGCGCTCCTCACAAGGCAACCCCTTCTCCGCGATCACCAGGCGAATCTAGAACACGTACAGAGAAAACTGTCATTTAAGTGGGAGGTACAGGAATTTTTTTTTGTTACACACATGATCTGTTATCTGCTTTTCAACAATATTCAATAGTCCTTTGCTGATCCTTCCCATAGTGCAAACCTATGAGTTGGCTGACCAGTAGAAAACCATGCACTCCCTGTGTGGCTGATATCTGTTATAGTAAATATAGGGGCTGATCTTTTTTGGATAATGCCTGTTGTCTTGCTGTTTTGCTGGCTCTCTGACTTTAGTATGTTTTTGAGTTGTTGACACAGAACAAGCATACGAATAAAGACAATGAGAAGCCCTTATCTGCATACTTCTATTAGGTCAGCGACTCACAGTGCTGAAGATAAAAGCCAGGCAACTAACATTTTCTGATGGAGAGGTCAGCAATGGCATCCTCCATGTTTCATATCAGCGTTACTTTGAAGGCATTATATACTGTACTTCAAATGTGTTTTTGTTGTTTTATTTAGGTGTTAGTGTAGGTCACTTACATGTGTTGGCACTGCCTCGTAATGATGAGCTCGTGTAGTTTGGCTGCAGTTTGTAGTGTCATAGCTTATCAATTCCTCTATGTCCATGTATTCATTCATCTAGCTTGTCCTCATTCACCAAAGGGGCAAGAAAACTTCTGGGTCACACAGTGTCCAATCCATACCTTGCCATACCTCTGTGTTGTATCACAAATGTGGGAGTACTAATGTGGTGAAAACACAATCTGCCTGATTGGGTCTGTCTCAGATCAGATTGCTGTTTAGCTCCCACCCAGGGGTGGACTGACAACTCATGGGGCCCCCGGGCAATAGGGGATTATGGGGCCCCTGTGTCCTTGCCCAAACTCTAAAAAGCCTATGAAAAAGGTCCCAGGGGCATCTCATGGGGCCCCCTACTGGCCCCGGGCCCTCGGGCAGTGCCCGAGTTTCCAAATGGTCAGTCCGCCCCTGCTCCCACCTCCACCAGCACTAAACTGAGAGGCTCAGGGATTGTGGGATATAGTTGTGCTGGAACGTTTGCATACACTGGCAGAAATCATAAAATTTTGGCATTTATATTGAAAATATGACGGATCAGGGGTGGACTGACCATTTGGGAACTCAGGCACTGCCCGAAGGCCCGGGGTCAGTAGGGGCCCCATGAGATGCCCCTGGTACCTTTCATAGGCTTTTTTGGGTGTGGTTTGAGTGTGGGTGAGGACACAGGGGCCCCATGATCCCCTATTGCCTGGGGGCCCCATGAGTTCTCAGTCTGCCCCTGTGACTGATCCACAGGTTAAGGTGGCATTGGCACAACAAGGGCTTCTTTCTGGCAACTTGACCATACAGCTCATTTTTGTTTAAGAATTGTTGAATTGTGCTCTTTAACCACTTGTCCTCCGTAGGATTTATATCCTGAGGAAGGGGGACCTGACCAGGCCATTTTTTGCATTACGGCACTGTGTTACTTTAACTGACAATTGCGAGGTCATGCAACGCTGCACCCAAATTAAATTTACATCCTTTTTTCCCCATTGATTGAGCTTTCTTTCGGTGGTATTTGATTGCCTGTGTGTTTTTATTTTTTGCGCTATAAAAAAAAAAAAGCCCGACAATTTTGAGAAAAAACAATATTTTTGACTTTTGCTATTAAACATGTCTAGTGAAAAAAAATGTAAAAATCAAATTTAGTCATAAATTTAGGCCAAAATGTATTCTGCAACATGTTTTTGCAAAAAAAAAAATCCCAATATGTGTAAATGAATTGCTTTATGTGAAGTTATTACGTTTAGAAATGACGGTATATATACTGTTTTTTTTTTTATATTACTAGTAATGGCGGCGATTAGTGACTTATAGCAGGACTGCAGGACTGCGGCGCACATTGACACTGGAGGAAACTGACTTGGTGTCACTGACATCCCCAATGGCACCAATAGAGTGATCAGTGCTAAAAAAAAAAAAAAAAAAAAAAAAGCACTGACACTGTACTAATGACACTGGGCAGGAAGGGGTTAACATGAGGGTAACAATCAAAGGGTTAACTGCGTTCAAGGTGTGTATTACTATGAGGCAGTGTCAGTGTGCTTCACTGCAAGCACACTGCTTTGGATGGCTGTGCTGTGCAGCCCATTCATAATAAATGGGTTAGTGAACGTCTCGGCACATGAAAATGTGCATTATCTGCTGCATACAAAATGTGAATGAGTGTATAAATGGGCACTAAGCACATGAGACCACCTGGGAGTGATGGTAGGCTTTAGGACTCTGATTAAGTCACCAGTCACAGCGCTGTGATTTAAAAGTGCACAATTCAGCATACTTTCCTAGATTGTAAGCTCCAAGGAGCAGGGCCCTCCTAACCCTCTTGTATTGAACTGTATTGTTGCTGTATTGTCTCCCGTTATATTGTAAAATGCTGAGCAAACTGTTGGCTTCATATAAATCCTGTATTATAATAACAATAATAATAATTTCAGGTGCGATTTCTGAAGACTTTATTGCTACTTGTGAAGATTTTCAACAATTTCTTGCAATGTGCAGTGCGATTTCCATTATATTCTATGTATATGAAATCACAACAAAACTGCAGAAAAAGTCATGTGAGAACTACTTTAGAAATGGCGCTACAGCAAATCGCACTTGTTAAGAGACTCACATTCATTAGATGCGATTTCCAACACCTGAACGCAAGTGTACAATCCAAACGCACACGTTCCTTTGTTAAAAATGGCTGTGTGTATAATTGGGTGCTGCAGCGACCGTCCTCTGGAACCGAACAGAATCAGCGAGGGAGAATGTCACCAGCACACCGAAGATCACCAATATGGGTCCAAAGGTTTTAATGAACGATCACATAGTTACAGCAAGGCAACGTTTCGGAGTCTCGCAGGACCCCTTCATCAGGCATGTGACCAGCAAGGAAGAATGTCAGCAGCACACCGATGATCACCAATACGGGTCCAAAAGTTTTAATGGAATGATCACATAGTTACAGCAAGGCAACGTTTCGGAGTCTCGCAGGACCCCTTCATCAGGCATGTGACCAGCAAGGAAGAATGTCAGCAGCACACCGATGATCACCAATACGGGTCCAAAGGTTTTAATGGAATGATCACATAGTTACAGCAAGGCAACGTTTCGGAGTCTCGCAGGACCCCTCATCAGGCATGTGGCCAGCAAGGGAGAATGTCACCAGCACACCGATGATCACCAATACGGGTCCAAAAGTTTTAATGGAATGATCACATAGTTACAGCAAGGCAACGTTTCGGAGTCTCGTAGGACCCCTCATCAGACATGTGACCAGCAAGGGAGAATGTCACCAGCACACCGAGGATCACCAATACGGGTCCAAAAGTTTTAATGGAATGATCACATAGTTACAGCAAGGCAACGTTTCGGAGTCTCGCAGGACCCCTCATCAGGCATGTGACCAGCAAGGAAGAATGTCACCAGCACACCTATGATCACCAATATGGGTCCAAAAGTTTTAATGGAATGATCACATAGTTACAGCAAGGCAACGTTTCGGAGTCTCGCAGGACCCCTTCATCATGCATGTGACCGCCTGAAGTCGCATCGGTATGACTGAGCAGTATAGCTCAGAGATTGCTCAGGTGGTGATAATGAAGTCTGATCCTCCATTCAGAGGTCAGTGTGAGGGAGGACATGAGACGACACACAGCAGGGAATGGTAAGAATCTACAAATGTGTGATAAACTCCTTCCAATGGATGTACATCACCCAGACGGGAGGGTTCTCTCCTCTACACAGGTGGAGTCACACATTCACAAAGAGTCCAGGCTGATGCCCCCCATCCCCTCCGGCTCCTCTCTTTCCTGTGGATAATATCATTGGGTCTCTGTTCCATTCTGCGGCAGGCAATATACATTTTCTCTGGAGATTTATCTTGTCCTGCCTTGTCTATCGCTTTTAAGCCTGAGCTTATTGGATTTATGGTTTATTATAGCAGGCAATTTGGCAGAGGTAGCGGGAAGCGGGGCCGCTTCTGATACTCAGGGCACGGTGGCCTGTTTCTGCAGAGTAATACGTCGTCTGATGGTTTGTGGAAGTTCTACGGCTCATTTCTCTTCTTAAAGTGAAGCTGTCACAAATCTGGGCCATTCCAATGGAGCGTATGATGACAGGCTACATCATCGGAGGCTGCCTTAAATGAAAACCACATGGCAGGATGGTCAGAAGATCTGGAAGTTAGGTGCCAATCTTCACTTTTCCGGTGCCACAGGTGGATCTACTGGGGCACACTGTGCAACTGGACAAGGGCCCTCTGGGGTCCATTTGTACTGTCTATACATAGTGAAATAGGTGTCCTGTGTTCTTGGGTAGTAATTGAAGGAGGGCCATCCCAACCTTAGAGGCCTTTGGTGATTATGTCCACCTCTGCTTCTCCCCAGGTCCCATTTAAACTATGCATTGCATAAGGACTCATTCACACCAGCTCACATGCTAAAATGAGCCGCGTTAGTATGCAGGCTGGTGACTGTTAAGTATGGGAGGTGTCTTGTGTTATTACAACGCAAAGCACTCTTTTAACTTGATTAAAATGGTGTTTCATTCATTTCCATGCGTTGACCACTAGTGACATGAAGTGGGCTCCAGTGTGTGGAGGAAAACATGGCATGTCTACATTTTTAAGCCACGCACTGCAACTCATCTCAAGGCAGCCTTGTGGTGTGAACAGGACACATAGAAAACAATTGTTTCTGTACTGCCTAGCAGTGAGTCTGCTTTCATCCATGAAGACTACATAGGTCACTGCATATGGTGTGAATGAGCCCTTAAACAGTAACTCCACTTTTGGACTATGTTGCACCCATATTTAGGGTGTAACATTTTGCCAAGAAGACCTCCAACCCCCAGAAGGTCCCCCCTACAATGATTGGAGGTTTTCTCCCTGCAGCAGCTGTTAGAATTTAAATTGTCACGTCTTTGTGGGGCTCCACAGATATGTGAATGAACGAACTACAAGTCCTGTCTGCCACTGTG